GGGGTTGTGGGAATACACCTGCCCACTACAAAGCCAGCGTGATGGATCGGAAAAGGCGCTAACTGACTCAGCACTTAAAAGGCTCTAGCTGGGGTTGGAGCAAAGAGGGCCTGATTGAAGCACACTGTCATCCCGCAAACAATAACAGGCATTCGTCTTTCCTATCGGGCACAATGATCATGTTGCTGATGTACAGAGAGCAGGGGAACAACAGCCAAAATTCTTGCAGACATATTACTGCCTGATGCCAGTTCAGTTTAATAGTGTTGATAGCATTTAAACCGTAAAATACCACAAATAACCGGTGGCATGCCGTGCAATTTTTTGTAGCTGTCTGAATGGAATACCTCGACTTAATCCAGCGCTATCACGTCAAAGTACAATAATCTCACACAAAACTGCAGTATGACAGCCTGCAAAAGGACATCATCGGGAGCTGTTCAGAATCAGCATTTGCATCACGATACGACAAGAAGAAAATACTCAGCATCGATACAGATTGCTCACACTTGGCTTGTTGTGACCGACCAATCACAGAAAAAGAAAAACGATGATGTCATTGACGGCCACGGACTGCCAAGAATTTGAAATCTGATCGGTTGAAGAAAACAGACGTGTTGCTAATGTAGTTTCGGTTGCAATTTGAAGCAGCGCGACAGAATCTGAAGTCCACGGGCAAATTAGATGGACATGGCAACAGCTGTAAGCCGAAATCTGATTGGACAAAACGATGATCCAACATCCACATCCACTTCATGAGGAACAATTGAGAGTCAAATTGAAAATCTTAGTCATGAAGATAATGCACATTTTAAACAATGTTTATTGTTTATTGCTGTAAAACTGGACGGCGTCGTACTGACAACGTTTTGAGCCCTTTTTTAAAATTTTTATGTACATTTTTTTTAACCAAGATGTTATTGATATGTCTGTTTTATTTTTGAATGAGTTCATATTCCATTTATAGAGGTGAGCCCTTTTTTAAAATTTTTATGTACATTTTTTTAACCAAGATATTATTGATACGTCTGTTTTTGAATGAGTTCATATTCCATTTATAGAGAACCAATCATAGAGTGTGCATGGTCCGACGAGTCAGTGACTAATGTAATTTAATAGCCAGTGCCGGCAGGGGTCATTTTTACAAGTGGACCCTGACACAATTTCAATGGGCTTTTCACACAGATACCGTAGTTGAAATATTATTACTATCAATTCATTTCACTTTAATTTCAGGATACACATTGTGGTTGTTTTTTTTTTTTGTATTTGCAATCCAGGCAAATAACATGGCATGCATTTGGAATAAATGTGCATTTGAGAAAAGGTGCAAGATGAAAACTACGTGAAAAAATTAATATACTGTGAAATTAGCTGGAGAAATAGCACACATTTTGTGAATGTGTGAAAATTTACGCTTTTATAGCCAAATTGGAGGCCAAATTAACCGAGCAGCGTGCTCTACACTCTTGGAGCCGATCGGGTGCAGGTGGCGGTCTAACAAATTTGTTCAGCACACTTTTTAACCTGTGGCTGGGGATGTACTTTCATCTGGTGGAGGCATCTCAATATCTGAATGAACTTTGTTGCAGCTGTTGCGGCGTGCCTTCCTTATCTTGTCCTGTTCTGCTTATCAGGATCGTGTACACACTTGGTTCGGTAATGAGCGTCACGCCTGCACCTCTCCCCATGTGGACGGGGCCCCACATCCGTCCGCAACACCCCCCCCCCCACATACACACACACAATGAGCAGCGTATGATGCTCACGTGTGTGTAATGTTCCACTCACACACCCGTGTGTCACCCTCGATATGTGCCCACCACATGCATGAATGCGAATGCAAGCACTGCTCGGGAGGCGTGGGGGCTGCTGAAAGTGGAACCCCCACCCCCCAACCCCCGTTTGGCATGGCAATGACAGATTTAAAGGATGTTGTGGATATGAGAGGGTGGGTGGTAGAGGATACGCGCGACATATAGCATGCGGCGGTGGCGCGGAGTGATGGCATCCTCTATTTAATGAGCACGGCCCTACGGTTACACACAGCTGTAAATCTGCCTGCTATCACTCTAATACAGGAAGCGTTATCTAATAAGTGAAACTCGGACGGCTAATTTCAATAAAGGCTAATACCTCCCACGACGTTGCGGAAGGCAACCATTGCCGAAAGTGGACTGCAAACATAGTGACTTTAAAGCAAACATACGCTGATCTGATTTCATAATGTGGCAAACAAACAAACAAATTAAGAAAAAAAAACAAAACAAAAAATAAAAGCAGACATATCCCAGATGTCCCAGGGCTAAAAGTGTAAAGCACCTTTGTGTCACTGGCCCTCTTGCTCTCTTTCTGGCCTGTCCTCTCAGCCTTGATTTGTGGTGTGCCGGTGTCAAAGGGGACTACTTTGTAGATGCTGTGCTCTACTTACCTGTTTCCTCACAGAAAGGGCAGTAAATGTCACTCCATGACACTCTCTGGACTGTCTCACTCCGACCATTACAAGGTTCCTGGGGTGGATACAGAAACGCATGGCTAAATTACCGTCGAGAAATCCAGGGATTTTTTTAAGGCTGGCTGATTTTGGGAAAAAGAAGAATCACAATTGTTTTGATTGATTTTTAAATACTAAACACGATTCTTCACTGATTTCCTAACGTAGCATTTATTCAACAACCAAAACTAAAAAGAACAACCAGAAAAGAACAACAAGTTAAGTAACAATATATGAAAATGATAGCAATAAAAATGTAATACCTGTTTTGTGCACTTTGGCCTCTAAGGGGCAGTGTGGTGCATGCAAGGAGATACACGAAGATAAAAAGAGTAGAAGAACAAAGTGGTGAATTTTATCAATCTAACTTGTTTTTGTAGCGATTAGAAAGAATATATGTCCATGACAATTAGTATATTACCTGCCTCTATGTGTTCATGCAACATTTTTGTTATTTGCAGGTTAATCCCTGTAAAATGAAAATTTTTGCTAGCCGGTCAACAGCGTTTTCCATTGAATGCTAGCATAGGCAAACTCTACAAACTACTTATCGTATTTAAATATATGTTGTACAATGAGTGTAATTTTTTTTTTCTGTTCGGTTTTACAGTTAATTTCAACTGAGATGTCAATAAATTAAAAAAAAATTACAACTTGAGAAAAACAATTTACAAGTAGTTACAAAGAAGCTCTTCGTTGCAGACCAACTCTGGTTGGAAGCCACCATATTTTTTACGCATTCATGCCAGGACGGGTCATGCTCAGACAGTACGCAGCCTGGCTATTCCAACTGAACCGTATACATGACTTGTTATTGGACTGCAAAAAGGAACATACGCCCCCCCCCCCCCGTGAATCTGAATGAAAATCCAAACAGATTTGACCTGTTTATTTCGATTGAAGTGATCGTATGGCACATTTGTTTTTCATTCTTATCGGAATACAAAGCGCCACGTAACCCCTCGGCTAATGTCCTGCTCAATAAATGACTGAAAGTGCACTAGCAACTGTGGCTCTCCTTGCCTAACCCTAGAAAAAAGTGACCATAACTTGGCAGTCATAAGACAAAACGAAATGAATGCATCATTCTGTATAGTGACTTCCATTCCAAGGAGGCATGATGCCTTCAAAACTCCTTAGCCACAAGGAATCAAAGCCCAAGGCTCTCACTCATCCCGCCTTATGAAGAGTCGTATTCATTATGCATTTTATTATGCTTTAATATTCGTGTTCAGTGGCCTGTCGGGGTGTGTAAAATTGTTCTACATGAAATCCGTGGCGTCAAAATGCTTGTAAACACTGAGAACAACTGTCTTTGCGAATGCTGTGGCGGGGGGGGGGGGACTGAGGGGTGGGGTTGTTTTTCTTTCTGTAATCGCTGACTGGTCTTTCAGCCTTATAAAATCATCAGTGCTGGAGTGACGATAAGAACTAATGAGACTGCGCCTCCTGTGCTTTTTTTTCCGAAACATGCTGACTGCACTCTGTCCAGGGGATTTCACAGGGCATTCAAGCACGGGACTATTAGAGGAAAGGGGGAAGTCATGTGATAATCACCATGGGACACAACTTTATTTATTTTTTTATTTTCTTTTTGGGCGGGGAGGGGGGGGGTAAGTCACATGAGAAATACGTACCCATTCTGTCCATTTATTTTGCACTTTGCTGGCTACTCATGAATCGTGGATACCACATACACATACCAGCCATTGCCAGAGTGGGGGTCTAAAATAGTGGAGCACTTAACACTTGAGCTACAAAGGAGGAACACGACAGTCTTAACTTCCCACAGCAATGTTATAAATATCCCAAACAACCAACATCACATGTGTTTCATTATTACACTTCAATACAGAGCAGATGTAGAGCAACAGAATTGCTGCTATCATTTATTTTTGTCATATTACAAGATTTCCCAGCAACGTTATTGGCTCAGAATTGGTGAGGCACAGTAGAGACCGACGAAAAAAATTGAGACATGTACATCACGACCCCAAGGCTGTTCGAAAGCTAAACAGGGGGACTCTTATGTGTGACATACAGAGATTTTGAGATACAGTGTTTCCAAAAATAGAATTATTAGACCGCCTGTCATAAAAACGAGTAAGGACGATTCAGTTTGAATGTGCATTCTTCAAATGTTAGAGTTTTACCATGCTGAATAGGAATTAGGAAAATTGGAGGCCAATTTTGGCCTTCTGGTCTTCTCTTAAAAGTCAGAAATTAACATCAAACCTCTCATTAGCATGAAAAAACAGATGGCAGTTATTTTAGGGAAGCTGCGGCATAAACGTTACATCGGTTGTTGCTCCAATCTAATTGCTAAGCACTCTACTGGACGCCATTTTGCAAATCAATCAATAAATGCAAAATGTGTGGTAAAGAAAATCCTCCTAAATCAGAATTACCCCCTACTATCATCGGTCCCACTCATGTACAGGACATAAAAATACACACACAGTACAATACACTAGCCTGATTGCTCAGGGTCATTTTTCAAAGGCAGACATCCACAATATGGCTGGTGAAACTCCAAGGAGGTTTTGGGTCTCAGCTTAATTAGATCTTGCAGAGCTAAATCAAATCAGTCTAAACGAGAGCAGAGAGTCAAAACCTCCCCACGCAAACAGGCGTCTCCTGTCTGCCCGGCATGACCGACAGCCTGCCAAAACTCTCCGTCTTTGGTTTTTTTTTTTTTGGCCGATGGAGCTACAAAGGAAAGACGCCGCTCTTCTTCCTCTTGTGCTTGCTTCTCCATAGTCACAAAAAAAAGAAGGGGGGGGGCAATGAGAAGGATGGAGAGTTTTGGCTACCTTCCCCCTAGCACATTACTTCACACACTACTTAACCTTGACAAGTCAATAAGATGCAAATGCAATTTGCTTATCTCCTCTTGACATTATGACTGCTCTTACTGCCTTGGGGGCATGTCGCTCCATTAGCCTTAGCCGTGTTCACCTTTTGGACAGTAAAAACACTACATCCTGAAAAGATGAATTTCTTGTTCCAATACATCGGGTCATCTAAATTTCATGAGATTGCTACGTTGCATGAAAATGCTTCATGTGCCACATATTTCATAGATAGATAGAGAGATAGACAAGTAAAAGTATGTGTCTGACAATTGGTATTGAAGTATCTGTTTTACATGCCTTTTGAGGCGTGGCCTGATGGTATGGCGTGATATCGGCATGTCTGCGTGTGAGCGGCTGGGCGTGAGCTGGTGCCTACAGCAGCTCCTATATGAGTGTGCTCATTGTGTTGATGTACGGAACAGTACTGTACCTGGGTTTGTCTACGTTTTTCACAAAATATCGCCGAAAAAATACTTAGCGCCTCAAGTAGACGAAACGCAAATTTATTGAAGTGAAAAAGTAAAATACAACTGAATTGTATTTAGGCAGTGGTTCTTTGGCAAAGAGTGAGTAATCGATGATTGAAAACAGCATTGTGGCTCTCCTTTCCCCACACGCGAGGGCATTACAGTCCAGCAAGTAAGACTCCGCTCGCTATCAACCACGCCAGAGTGTACCCCACTTCTTGCCCAAAGTCAGCTGGGAAAGGCTCCAGTGGTATGGATAATGCTATGGATGGAAACTGAAGTTTAAAAACCAAAGCTTGTGGTGTTTTTCTTCTCCAGTTTCTTCCTCATCTGTCTGAGTAGAGTCACATGACTACTCCACAACAGTGTGCTCAGTCAAATGCGGTGTGCAAGAATCCAACGGCGCGAGCGTGCATGTGCGTGTGTGCGTTTCAAGCAGGTGAAGCGAACCCCTCAGCATCTGGCTGGTGCTCCCTGGCTAGAAAAACATTCCTCTCCCTGCTGCAGGGTGGCTTCAGCCCAGGTCCATTAGTCACTAGGCCCTGGACACCTCTCAGTCATCCCACCACATAAGGCAGCATAATTGATAGCCATCAGCCGCGAGTCGTGCGGTTGGGGCGCGCGATGGTCACTTCATGTTTTGGTTAAAAAAAAAAAATTAAAAAAAAAGTGGGGTCCGCAACTCCCGTCCTGTCTCTTTGCCATCACTCCACTTGAAGGTGAGATGATTTAGGAGGCTGGGAAAAAGTTAATTTCTCTTGATCATTGTGTGCAACCTGGAGCCTTAATGGCGGGCGTAATTAATTCTGCTGATGTTAATCACCAGGGCTGGTCCCCACAATTATCAGCCCTGTGCAGATGGGGCACAGCGCAGACATGAAAAATTAGGAAAATGAATCTGTAATGGGGTGGCAGATCTAATCTGTGTCAGAGAAAACAAAGTTAAGGAAGAGCAAGGAGCCTCAGGATTCCAGGTGAAAGCCAGCAACGCAAACAAAAACCTGTGTGGCAAAGCTGAAACGGGGTTTTGTAATTGCCACGCGATTCTTAATTCATCACCGTAGCGGAGATCAACATCTCGGTTCTGAACAAAGCTTTGGGAAGGAGGGGAGCCACGGTGGCCACGTTTACGGGGACGGAAAGGTTAATCAGCTTCCACTCATAGCTGTGTGTGGCTTGGCGATCACCATGTATACTCACTGGCTGAATTAAAAAACACACACACACACACACACACACACACACACACACACACACACACACACACTGCCATACACAGATAGATGAAAGGTAGATTCATGATATGTTAGCGCATGCATCCACCGAGTAAAAAGGGGAAAAAAATGCAATCAATGAGCACACACACACACACACACACACACACACACACACACACACACACACACACACTGATTGTTTCAATCATGGGCCATACCGATGAAAGAATTACCAAAGCATTAACGGTCAAAGGACACACACTCCCAGAGGACATTTTCCTCTGCCAACGTCAAACAAAATTAAGCAAAATACAACTGATTAATTGAATTGCGGAGGAGCCATTTTTCAAGCTCTTACTTGGCTCTGGCAGTCCAGGCATAGCGTCATTGCGTTTTTCGTCTGCTTAATTGGTCTCGCGCCTAGTTTGCACATTCTTACAAAGTCTGGGCCATGATAATAATAATAAATCTTTAGCC